CCTTGCCATGTAAGCATGACATGGCAATATTTTGCCATACAAGCAACTAAGCGGGGTGTGTCCTCAACGGCAGTTAAGTTGGCTTAAGAAGAAGGGCTTAATTGCTTTGATCCCCGAGTTCAAGGGCTTATATGCATCAATTACAGTCTAGGGGCTTAATAGCGATTCTGGGGTTGGTTCAGGGGCTTAACTTATGGTTTTGCCATTTTGTAACTGATATTTGTTAGATGATTTTATATTATGTTATTTGTCCCATTTTTTTTCACAGTAAATATTTTGTTATCTTGTTAGTTTCTGTCACAGAATGGACCCTAACAAGATTTTTCTCAATCTCTCAATTAAGACGATGAGTCCTTCAATTGAAATATCTATAATAATTAAAACTATTATATTCATATAAATTAAAACTAAGTTTAAAATGATAATTTTTAATCCCTTAACTTTTAATATATACATATTTTTTGTCTATCCATTTTAAATTAAGGGATTAAAAATATGTGTATTTAAAAAAACTTAATAGAGTAATTAATAGAATGACTAAAAAAAATATAAAGAATGGACTAAAAAAGTATATAAAAAAACTAAAGCATGAAAATTATATAAAATATTAAAGTTGAGGATTAAAAATGAAATTTGTCATTTTTAAATTTGAATTGATTTGATTCGTAGTAGGCAACTGTACCAAAAAATGAAAGGTTGACAAGTCAAGACAGCTAGACGCGAGAACAGAGGAGGATTTACGCGATCAAAATTGCAGGGCTAGCCAAAACGACGTCGTTTTGGGAAATCTTTTTTTTTTTTTTTTAATTCTTGCATATTGTATCGGTTAAATTTTGATGTACTTATCGGTATGTCGAAATTTCAACTGGTATACTAAAATTTGACCGAAATCATTGATTTTGATCGAAACGAAATTTATTCTTATTCCGTTTCAGTTTACTCTAAAAATTGATACGTACCGACCATATCGACCGATACGAAACGGTATTTACTTCTTTGCATGATACCCTGCATTTCAAGGGAAAATGACAAGGCTGACCTTGCTATTAAGTGGAAGACTATAACTGGCTACTCACCATGTAGCTGAGGAACCTTAACCTCAGAGGATTGCTGCCTTAACTCTATATTAGGGGACAAGCTAGGGCACTAGCCTTCCACACAATACAACTCCACATTGTTAGTGTTGAGCATTGGTGACTTTATTATTAAGAAAATGAGTCTCGCCGGGAAGCTGGAAACCGATGTTGAGCTCAAGGCTTCTGCTCAACAGTTCCATGAAGTACTCTGCAGCAGACCTCACCACATCTCCAACGTCTCCCCTTCTAAGATCCAGGGAGTCCAGTTGCACCAAGGTGAATGGGGCAAGGAAGGTTCTGTCATCATCTGGAACTATGTCAGTGGTACGAAAGATGTTATTTCTAATTATTATTTTATTATAATAGACATCCACCATAATTTAGGGTACTATACCTTCATTTCAAAAATAGAAGGGTAAAAAACGTATAATTTCTCGATTCAACATTTTTACAAAAACTATTAATTTAAATCAAAATACCTCTCCGTGTTTGTTTTCTTCTTTTTTAAAAAAAAAAATTAATATATTTTTTAATTTAATACACATATTTTTCACTTTAAATTTAAATTTTAAAATAATAAATTTTTAATAAATAAGTTATAAAATATATTAAATTAAAGAGTATACTAATCAATATTATCTTTTAAGAAAATATTCCCATTGATTATTATATTTTTTCGGAATGAATAGATGGGAAGACTAAAGTACTTAAGGAGCAGGTGGAGAAAATAGATCCAGTAAAGAACTCGGTGACATACAAGGTGATTGAAGGGGATCTGTTGAATGAGTACAAGAGTTTCAAAATCACAATTCAAGTTACGCCCAAGGGAACTGGCAGTGTTTCACACTGGACATATGAATATGAGAAGCTGCATCCTGGTATTTCGCACCCTGAGAAACTCATCCAATTTGCAGCCGAACTCTCCAGGGAAATCGATTCCCACCTCACCAGTGCTAAATAGACAAATATTGTCACATATCGGTGCTACCACCAATCATATGTTAAGTACGAATAATATGCATCGATCCGATCGAGTGGTTATGTGTTGCATGAATGTTTGAAGTTATATATGTTTGGAGTGGTTATGTGTTGCATGAATGTTCGAAGTTATATATGTTTGGAATAAATATGTAGCTTAATTTGGTGTGCGTATCTCAATTCTGAGCAAAAGTTAGCATTTTTTTTTTAAGCGACTAAGGAAAACTTTACCCCAATTGGAAGAGACTACCTATTATCTTTTTAACAGAAAGCGCTTAGGTAAATAACGTCGAGGAAAAAGGGTTAATCATTCTTGATCAACAAAGGGACAGTATTAATTAAGATTACATGGGAGTGTGACGCTCAAGTTCCCGGTATAAAAATCTATGATAACATTTGTAAATTTAATCAAGTATTATTATAAAAAAATGAAATAGTATTTTATAGTTTAAATTCTAAAGTAATAATTTT